CTGTTTTCTGTTGAGACCATTGATGGTCTGGTGATTATGGCTATTCCTTCCAGGCATATCACAGTATATGTATTTTTTAAAGAGGTTTGCTGGGTCTATAAACTGCAGAGTAGCTGGGTGTATAGGCTGCAGGTGTACCACCACACTTGGCTTTTAGGGTAGACTGGGAATTGAATCTGGGGCTACCATGTGCCTCATCCTGCCAAGTAGTAGTGGTTACTAGTGAGTGCTAGTGTTGCCAGCCCAGTGTTTTTGTTTGTTTGTTTTGTTGTTGTTTTCCAGTTGTTTCCAAACTATTTTTTCACTTTGCATTGTGACCCTGAATTCTATCAGTAGCTGACATCAAGGAAGTCTTAGGGAAGTTCCTTTTTCTTTTTAATACGTACGTAATATCCCTTCATAACAATTGTTTCTGTAAAGTGAAATTCATTCCACAACTTAGTGACTGATCCATAGAAATAACACCTTAGTAGTCGTTTCTCCCTTTTTTCCTTCTTTCCTTCCTTAGTATTTTAGTTTATGGTTTTACTTTATATACTTACCATGAAATTTTAAGGTGTAATACAGTGTGGTGGTTATCTAAAAGCACAATATTGTATAGCATTTGTCTAGAACTTACTCATCTTGCTTAACTAAATGTATATCCTTCTAAAATAGTCAAATTTATAGAAACATAGAATAGAATGGTGGTTGCTAGGGCCTTGAAGAAAGGGAAATGGGAAGTTACTAATCATCTCAGTTTTTCACTGTAGTCAGTTTTTTCTACAGAAAATAAAATTTGTCAATCACTGTACCCAAATATGTGGTTGTTCATGCCTGGGGAAGAGGAAGGAAAAATGAATTTGGTGATTTAGTTCTACCATGAAGCAGAACATAACTTTTCTGGTACTGGTGTTTCCTGCCAACACCTACATCACTGCTCTCCCTGCCCACAAACTCCATCCTCCCAACCAACCCCAAATAGGAAAAAATAAATAAAACTCCTGAGACCATTTTTCCTAGAACATTACTATACACAAACTCCAGAAGCATGGGAGAAGAATTGTATGGGGAGGGGGGCTCCTTTTTCTCTTTGAAAAAAATATTTTTATTTATTTATTTTACATTCATTTTCTGTATATCATTGCAGCATACAAAATCAGTTTCCACATCCAGAATATACTGTGTATTGGCTCTATTAGAGATATTACCATATATGTTATCTTCAACAAATAATTTTCTGCTTCTTGTTTCTTATATTATTTTGCTTCTTTTTTTCCCCCTCCCTTGATTCCCGCCCTTTTAGCCTCGGCCATTTCTCACCCTCCTTCCTTCCACACTGTCCCTGCTATCTACAGTTGCTTTTCATGCATTCTTATTTTCTTCACATTTTATTGATTCACAGAAGATCTTAATTAATCTAAATACTTTCAACAGCAAGTACAGCTGATATAAACACATCTATGAACACATGTCTGACTTTAGGCATAAAACTCAGTGAGTAGAATGAACATATTATAAAGTAGCACCTAGCTATATACCTTATTGTGGTCATTAAGTAGGTATGTTTTTGTTTGTTTATGCATTTTTTTTAATTTCAAGAAAAGCAGTATTAGCTTTAATAAAATAAAAAAATATTAAGAAAAACAAAAGTTAAAATCCTGTTCAAATAGTAGGTAAATACTAAAAACTCAAAAAACAGATATGGGCAAAGCTAAAATCTAGTAACAAGTACACTGTAATTTTCTTCTGAAACATTTTTTTCTCCATTTCCCCTTTAAAAGAGGCATAAACTAACGTATTTGCAAAGAAAATAAGTTTAGTCTCAATTTGGTCTGTTATTCACACAAAGCCCCATAAGAATATTAATTGATTTACTTGGCTTTGTTGGGATCTTTTATAAGGAACTTTATATTGGACTCTTTAAAAAGACTCCCAAGGCTAAGAGCCAAGTTAGGAAGGAATTCAGCATCTGATTGTGTCTTTAAGTACCCATACCTGAAAGTTTTTGGGCCTGTCAGGAAGTGACATTCTTTTCTTACCTGCCAGGTAGAACTGCTTATGGCACCAGGCATTCTTTCCAAGAGCTTCTGTTGGCTTTTTTGAGATCTACCTTAGTTCCTTAACTTTCTGGTCATATTTTCAGATATGACACTCCAGTCAAAGCCCTGGCAATAACCAGTATTTCCAATTTCTGATTCATGGTAACAGGTATTATTAAATTTATGCAGATAACCCTTCTGCCACAAAATAAGAATACTCACAAATATTTTCCAATTCCAGACAGGTCAGGAAGGGAGAAAAATTTATGCGTCAATTCTGTTTAAGAAAAGAAAAATTAACAAATTGCTGTATCTATCAACAGCTCAGAAGAAACCCAAAAGCCTTAAATCTGGAAAACAAAGCATATAAGAAAATCAGTAATGTTTTAGTCAAAAGTCATGAAATTCTATTTTACCAGTTCAGTCTTATGTGATTAGTCTCTCTTCTGTTGAATTTAGTGTTACTGTGGTCCTATCTCTGCGTTTAAATCCTGGGAAGTTTACATTCAGCGTTGTTACTGATATTTCTGGATTTGTCCCTGCCATTAAGTTGGCCATTTTCTTGGTTGTTTTTTGTTCTCTTATTTCTGTGTGTCTGTCTCTAGTTTTCCTGGTATAGCACTCCCTTCAGAACTTGAAGAGCTGGTCTGGTGTTGGTAAATTCTTTCAGGTTTTGTTTATCTGAGAATGTTTTTATCTTTTCTTCCCATAGAAAGGATAATCTTGCCAGGTATGGTATTCTTGGTTGAAATTGTTTTTTACTTAACAATTTAAATGTATTTTCTCATTCTTTGCTTGCATTGTTTCCTAGAGAGGTCCAATGTTAGCCTAATGGGTTAACCTTTATAAGTAACTTGAAATTTTCCTCTTGCCAATTTTAGTATCTTGTTTTTGCCTGTGGTTTTGGCCAATCTGGCTTTGATGTGCCTTGGAGAAGATCTTCTTGGGTTGATTCTATGTGGGGCCCTTTGTATTTCTTAGGTCTAGATATTTGAATGCCTTTCCAGGTTTGGAAAGCTTTCTTCTAGGATTTCATAGACTAGATTATCAATGCCCTTATTAGTTTTTTCAGCCTCTGGGATACTGATTATCTGGATGTTTAGGTATTTAATGGTATCTAATATTTCTCATATATTAATCTCATTTTTGGGTTTTTTTTTTTTTTGGTCTTCTTGGTGATTTTTTCTAGGTCAGAGATTTTTGTCTTCTACATCTGAGATTTGATCTTCTACATGATCTAATCTGCTTTTTTAATACTTTTGACAGAGGTTTTGATTTTCTGTATTACAGCCTTTAACTCTTAGCACCTTCATTTGATTATTTTTTTATGGTGCGTATTTCTTCTTTCATACTGTGAAAGGACTTCTTCATCTTCTGGAACTCTTTGTCTCTCTTCTCTTGCATCTCGATTAGTTTTGTCACTGAATATTCTGAATTCTTTATCCAACATTTCCATGAGTTCCATTATACTGTCTGTGGATGATGAAGGGTGATGAAGTTCTTTTCCCTTGGGGAAGAGATATTTTCTTGGTTTCTTATATTTCTTGCACCACTGCAGTGGGTTCTGGTCATCTGATGGATTATATGTTTTTTTCCTAATTTATTGGAGTTTTTTCTGAACATTCAGAGGCATGCGGGAGGCAGTGATCTGCAATCCATCTGTAGTTCCATTTCTCTGATGCTCGCCAAGTGACCTATGCTTTTGTCATTGGAACTGGATATTACAAAGGCCTCCCAGTTTCTAGAGAACAGGTGCACTTGTGCTGAGCTGTGGGGTTTCGACTGAGAGTTCAGAGGTGTGAAGGAGATGAGCCATTCTTTTTCCTGCAGCTCTGTCCTTTTCCCTACTGCTCACTCCCCGGTCTCTCTTCTCTGATTTCTAGTCCTTTGGTGATTTATTTAGTTTTGGCTACTTTGTTGGAGAATGTTTCTGCAGCTGTAAACTCATGTGCTTCCCTTTACTGTGAGGTACTTCCATGCCAATTTCTCTCCTGTACTGTGTTTTGCAACTTGGTATCCATAGAAAGATATTTGAGTTCAGATTTATGAAGAGGAATTTCTTCCTTTGTGCAGTAGGTTTAGCAGGGGTTGAGGATTTATCTGATCCTGTTTAGCTTTTTGGGTCTGGAAGGTGAGTTTGGAGCAGAAAGTCTTCAGTTGTCCTAGTGCCTGAAAGGGACAGGGCACAGCTCACATGTAGATGGCTTCTGAAAGGACCTGTGATTTGCCTGTCCTGTCTAGCATTTTGTGTCTGGAAGGTGAGGTCGGACCAGAAAGTCTTCAGTTGCCCTAGACGCTCAGAAACTTCTTCTAATGAACACAACTAACCTGTTATATTATTTTTAAGAATTGAGTCCTTTAAATGCAATCAACAGGATCAAAATCATATACGAGCAGGCTCAGTTCATATATGGTGGCACAGGTAGTAGGACGCCACCATGCAATACCAGAGCCACATGGATACTTGGGATGGGATCCTGGATTGACCTGAATTTGCTAGACTTCGCCCTGAGAGGCTGTGGGGAGGATTGTGACATGACAAGACTGTATCAAGAGTATCCCTTCCTCCTCCTCCTCCCTTCCTCTTTTTCTCTTTCACTCAATAAACAAATAAATAAACAACAACAACAAAAAATCAGATGTAAGAAGAGGCACTTATGTCTTAGAAGAATCATATTTATTCCTTAACAAAGCTCTTTTTAGACCTTTTTATGTTCAACAAGCCATGTTGATTACTGTATTTTTAGTCCTATATTACCTGAGTGGGCAATTCTGGGTACTGTTGGCCTCTGTTGGTGATATTAGTTACTGATCTTGCTCATGACTGTTCACCAGTTACATCACAGTCTGACTCACCAGCCTCCCATCTCCCCACCATTAGGAAGCCTATCCTCCCCACTAGGTCTGTTTTCTTTCTCTTCTTTTCTAATCTCTTTCTTATTTACCCCCATCTCCTTCACTCCTTCGTGATTTTCTCAGGGCTGGGCTTCAACATCGTCGGTGGGACAGATCAGCAGTATGTCTCCAACGACAGTGGCATCTACGTCAGCCGTATCAAAGAGAATGGGGCTGCGGCCCTGGATGGGCGGCTCCAGGAGGGTGATAAGATCCTTTCGGTGAGAACTGGCTTCGGCCTCCACTGTCCTTTGCTTTCTATACCCTAGGTTCTACCCTTTCCCCCTTTCTTTGGAAGATTCCTGCCTTCCTTTTTGGATCTGAAGTATCCATATTGTGTAGTTGAATGGGAGAAACCTTATCCTGCCCTTTGCCAACTCTACCACTGGGGATGGAGGATAATATTATCCATACTTGACAAACAAAAATTAAACCCACCCAAGGTCAAAAAATACAGAAGCATAGAGGAGTAAGTTACTGGTTAGGGGAAAGAGATTTAAACTTCACATTTTTTGTCTTTCTTCTACTACTTTATCAACCTTTTGTTGATTAAAATACTAAAATAGGTCCTCCTTTGGGGGAATATCAGCCCTTATAATTGAATTTAACTTAACACCAAAAGACACAAAGGAGTAAGATAGGAATGAAATGTTCTTTTTAGATTCAGAGCCCTTTTTACTCATTATTAAGATGAAAAATTAGAATCCAGTTCAATTTGCATTTCAATTTAAATTTCTGTCCACAGTGCTCCCATTTCATCCTGCTACTGCCTCTACTAAGATGCTTACTTCCTGGTAATCATTAATTGTATAGTTTTCTGAAATTTCCTCAAAGCAGGGACTAGATTTTTGAACCTTATCTACCCTAGCACAATGCTTGATATATGTTTTTTTTAAAGAATTATTTATTTATTGTTTCTATTATTATTTTTTAATTTGACCAAAGAGAGAGGAAGGGAAAGTGAGAAAGCAAGCTCCCAAGTCCGGGACTTGAACTGATGATAGCCATGTGGGAGTCCAGTGCATTAACTACCATGCCACCTGCCAGCTCCATATATGTTTAACAGATGAACAAGTTAGGAAATTTAGACAACTTAGAAAGGCATACTGATAAGTATGATCTCACAGATACCTGATCTTGTAATAAATTAGAATAATCCTGACAGTGAGAATGCAGGACAAATAAGAATTTCTGAAACTGTTAAAATACAAAATATAACTATGGCCCTACTTTTTACCTCTATTCCCGACACTGGCCACAGTATCACTAGGATACTCATTTGGGGTAGTAGAGGACTTGGAGATAATCATTCTGTAGTTTTTTTAGTTAACCTCAGGACTATGTGAGGATGGCCAGCTTATTCCTTACACAGAGACAGTATAGGTGACTGGTAAGAATGGAGAAGTATTGGTGGGAGTATAGCTGGGGTATCATTTAGGATATTTCTGGGATTAGAGCTGGCTTCAAAAGACTAGGTTTAAATAAAAGGAAATTTGAACTAAGATAGTACTTCTCATGCAAGAAGCCTGTACCTTCTTCTCTGGTTGGGCCAAGGGCCCATAGTCTGAAAAAGAAAAGACTACTACTTACTTAATTTTATGAATTAAGTAGGATAGGAGAGTTAAGGTGAGACAAAGTCAAAATAGTGAATAAAGTACAGATCAGAATATTATGAACAAAATTAAGTATTAGTCTCAGAGACCTGATTTTAAACCTACCTTGATAGGTTTATCCCTTTAAGAATTTGTTGCTATAATTTTGTTTTGAATAGTCTCCTTTGAATTACTTCTCATGCAGTTCAGTTGATTAGTGATTAAAGACTATATGCATGAATTTTCCTGGTCCTCTTAGTTGTGAGTTTATCAGACACTTCTCTGCCACCCAGACCATTTGGAGGTATTACATGAAGGCAGAGATAAAAAGGAAAGAGAGAACTACCTTTTCCTCATTTGACATCTGAGTATTTAAGAGATCAGACTCTGCAGTATGATTCTGAATGCCTCTACAAGCTAAGTGGACTTTATGACTTAGTCTCCAGAAAAGAGAAAGTATCAAAACAAGCATCTTCTAGAGTTACTTAAATTAAGGAATCTTTCTTAAGAATTTATCCTGGCTGATCCAGAATATAAATATAATGTCATGGGTGATAGTATTTCAGTCTTCTCACTGACTGTTTTGTCTCTCTTCAGTTCATTGAGCTTCTTATAGACCCTGTTTATTACTCTATGATGGAGACAGTGACAATCCACCTTTCATCTCAAAAGGCTATTGAAAAGCTTAGAAAGCTTAGAAGCAAATTATTTTCTTTAACTCCTAAGAGAAAAACATTATAAAAATATGAATCAACTTAATAGTGGTACATTAAGGAAAAATTAAGAGTGGGTTGTTAAAATGAAAATATAGCATATAGTTAGAATCTGTACAGCTTAATATTTTGACACATAAATCACATTTCTTCCCAGAACAGTGGGGTCTTGATTCTATAGGTGAAATAGGACTGGAACAGTACAGAGGTTAAGAGAAAGACATTATTTGAAAAGCTTTGGTTATAGGTAGATTATTGCAAAATGAGGATGGCGAGAGGTTCTGAGTACTAAATCCTGAGTAGCATACTAAGAACTTTAAATTTATTTCATTTAATGTTAAAGTAACACTATGAAGTGGATATGATTATTATGCCATTTTTATAGCTAAGAAAGCACACTTGGTGAAGTCAAGCAGCTTACTCAAGATCACATAACTAGAAAGTGACAGGGGACTAAAACTTCAGTCTGTGAGAATTTGGAAACTCTCCTTTTAGCCAGTAGATTGTACTGCCTCCTGAAAGGTAAATGAGCTAGGGAAATTAGGTGAATTGAGTCGTTACACATCTACTTCTACACTGACGTTTTATCTCCTACCATCCGTCTGAAAGAGAAAGTTTTATGGTGAATTAACAGATTTGTGGCTGTATAAAAACTGAAGTCATTCTTCCTAAAATAGGTAGAATTAGAAAGGACATAATCCTCAGCGTGGAAGAATTTTTTAGATGGAAGCTCAGATGAGCAGTCTTTCTTATGTGGGCCATTGCCTCGCAGAGAAAAGAAATTATTGATGACCTCTCAAGTTCAAAATAAGATTGGGGAGTAGTGATGGATATAGTGGAAGATAAATGTCAATGAAGGGAGAAGTAGATGTCTAAAAAACTTAGTTTACCTGACTTTAAAATTTATAGCAAAAGGATTTTACTTTATGAAAATATATTAAGTATTATTACAAAGAGGGACCAGCAGATGGCATAATGATTATGTCACTGGACTCCAATGTAGTCATCTATGATTCAAGTTCCAAACCTGGCGACTTAAAACTTATGCCAGGTGCATATGCATGCATGCCCAAAATCCAGAGAAGAGAATGGAGGAGAAGGGAATGCAGCATGGCCATCCCCCCTGGGAGGGAGATTTCCCACTTTCTGTTTCCTCTGTCTCTGTCTCTCCAGCAAGTACACACACCCTATAGGAAAAATCTCTCATAAATAAATTAATACGTATTACAAAGATACTAAACAATGCAAAGATATATAGACTTATTACAAAGAATATGTTCATGTTCTAGCTGATTAGGGAAAAACCTGTGAACCAAGAGGAAAGAATGTAAGGGAAGGGAATTCAGAAATAGAAGACAGATACGGGGGGGATGAGGAGGGGGATAAAGAAGACAAGCTGGAGTGTACACATGAGGTAAAGGCAGCATGTCCTTTCCATTCAGTCTAGGCCTATATATCTCTGACTTTAATTTCCCTTATAAGAGTCTGCTCCAAAATTCTTTCTAATCTCATTCCTTAAGAATTACTACAAAACAGTGTGTTTTGCTTCACCCACCTAGGATATCTTATCCCCTCTCTGCCCTTTAGTGAACCTGTTAGGCCATACCTGGTTTCATCTATTTAGTTCACTTCATCCCTTTGATACAGTATGCATTTATTATTGACTGTGAAGTCTATAAAATGTTAGATTATTTATTAGCCTATACTCCCATTTAATTTTCACAGGCTTTCCTATTCTCCTCACATGGATTATTTTTCCATGTTGTAAAATATGCCCCATTGTTTTCTGTCAACTTTTGCTAAATAATCAAACTGTTAGGTCATCAAGAGAGTTGTGACATACTTTTCTGTGATTTTCTATGCAAAAATGCCTCATGACTTTCCTGACGATTCAATATATATGTGTCCCTTAGTACATGTCCATTTTGGATAACTGATATCATTAAATGATCTGTAAATTTTCTGTGAGTTATTGATTATTACCATTTCCATTCTACCTAAATATTGCCCACATCTCGTCCTGATTTCAAGTTCTAAAAATAAATAACTGCGTGTCTTATCATGTAGTTTCCTTTTTCTCATCATAAGGGAATTTTTTTTTTTTACAATGGCTTAACTTTAAAAAAAAATTATTAACTAATGAACATAAATTATTTTTAAGGTCCTGCTGCATCTGACAACCCTGAAACAAAAGCAGACATTTCCAATGGAAGAACAGATCTAAAATTGACATGAGGGCTGGAAGTTCTTCATCTATAGTTTATTTTGTGTGTCTGTGTTGGTGAAGATAGTTTAATACTGGAATAGGTTACCCTGGAACCTGAGTAATAGAGTAAAAAACTATCTGAGTTTCTATGTGGCTGCCTAGATGAATAATCAGTCCTCAGTGAACTCTTCTTTATGAAGCTCAGGGTGATGTAGCTGGTTATCATACTGCATAGGTGAATGTTCCATTTTAACCAAACTTGTTATATAACAGAATAGCACAGATTGAGCCATAGGTTGTATTTATTTTCTGTTCAAGTACAATTCTCTGTTTTTGTTTTGTTTTGAGAGATTTTTGCTATAGGGCACGTGCACTCCTAGAGAGGCAGAGACAGAGAGACAGAAAGAGAGAAATTACTTCCCAGGGTGGATGGCGGTGCTGCAATCCCTTTTTCTCCATTCTCCTCTGGGGATTTTGGTACACATACACACGTCTACTAGTGTGTTTCAGGCCACCAGGTCTGGGACCCAAACCACAGTTGGCCACTTGGGAGTCCAGTGCCTTAATCACTACACCACCTGCTGGCCCCCTCAAGTGCAGTTTTTAATTTGGTGAATGAAAGAGTCAATTCTCAACATTTATCAACTTTTGTAATTGATAGCCTTCAAGGCACTTTGTGGAAAGTCACAAAGAAAATGAAAGACTGGTCTTTAGTTTAGCAATCGTAGAAAAGACCCAACAGGAATTCTCATCCTGTTGAAAAATACACAGCAGAACCCTTTAAATACAAAGTATCTCTAGGGAAGGGTGTATGTTTTTTATTTCTGTATCTCCCGCTCTGCACCTTGTCTGGCAGGGGGTGTGCATACAGTAAAGCATCTAATATGGTAGTTGTTCAGGAAATGAATCACTTTATTCTAAGTTATAACACACTAAATCTTTATGGTTGAGCATGATTAATTAGGTCTAGATAATACATATTTTTTCTCCTTCATCTTTGAAGAAAAAAACACAAAAGTTGTAGTTCATTTCAAGATCTTTGTAAAGTACTAAAATTTGAGAGTGTCATCTGAGATGAGTGCCTTATAATTGAGCCCATTCTTTTCTCTGCCTCTGCATCTGCATTCATGTTATCCTATAGTAAGAGCTCCCATCCCATGAGGCAAGTCAAAATTCTTAATCATCAAAGGAAACTAATTTTACCTCAGATTGCTTCCTAAGGCAGGAAATAGGAATATTTTAAAAGACTGCCAACAATCAGGGCAATAAAAATGTTACATTTTCCCATCATTTAACTAGAACACTATCCTGCATCCTGATTCTTTGAACAGTCAGAATCAGTGAAATGTTTAACCATGTTGCAAAGCTGCCACATGTCAGATTCTGTCAAACTTACCATGTCATGAGTTAAGGAAGCTGAAATAGTAAGCTAACAATTCTAAAGTAATTTAGCTGAGTAGCTTTTGGTACTAAAATGAGGCCCAAGGATTAGCAGACCCACAGTTCACCTGGGAATTTGTTAGAAATGCAGAATCTCAGTGTGGAGGCCTCTTAAGAAAATAAGCAAGGGTTAATAAAGAGGGCTTAAGATGAGCCTTACTTAAGAACATAAACTTGCTCAGGTTAAGTCCCCAGATAAACTTGTACCACAGAGAAGAGATATTCTGGGTCCCCACCTGCTCGGCACCACCTCCAGCAAGCAGTCACCACAGCTGACAGACACTGCATTCCCGAGAAGTGACCAGCACTCCCATTGGGACCAGAGCTTGCAGTTGATTCTTATCCTCCTCCCTGGATTGAGACCCCACCAAAAGGCGAGAACCTGTAAATTGTACAGGCTCCACTCAGGTATTCTTGCCCAGTCTCTCCCACACGTTCTCGCTAGTACACTGAGCACTAATAAACTTAACTTCTGCTCATGCTTACGTTTCTGTCTCTGGTGAAATTCTTCTACCACCTACACACTGGCGCTACTACCCCACTGCCCCACTACACTCGGGACTCTCCCCACATAATCAGAATCAAAATATGCATTATAATAAGATCCCATGGTGAGTTTGTACACAGTCTGAGAATCATTGCTTTAGAAATGTGGTTCTCAAAGCTTTTAAATTATGACCTATAATAGAACTATGTATCTCCTACTCATCAAATAGGAATATATGTGCATATATTTGAAATAAAAGTTTAACAAAACAGTATTTTTCCACAAATGATGCATTCATATACTTGGTGTTTTCATCTAGTTGAAAATTAAATACTGGTTTTGACCCACTAGATTATTTCCCAATTTTCTGTAAATGGGTCAGCAGGCTCATATTTGAAAAATTGCTACCACAGTAAATGGAAAATGAGTGATCAAATCCGTAGATGCACAAAGTATGTATTAAATAGGGGAAATAGTCTGGGAGTGGAGACCAGTCAGAACACTGTGTTAGACAGTTTAGGTTACAACTAACTCCAACTTCTTAAAACACTGTAGGGCTTGTTAAAATAGAGAATGCTAGGGTGAGGCCTGAGAATTTGCATTTTTAACAAGTTCCCTGATGCTAATGCTGCTGGTCTCTTATTAGTAAGGATAGTAGAAAAGAGAGTAGCGTCTACAGATACTTAGGCATAAAAGGTACAGACCTTTGTATATCGTCACTGTGCCGCTGGAATCTGTAAAAACGTTAGGAGGTAAATGCTAGAAAGCAGATTCATCTTTGGAGTAGAAATTACACTGTTAAGGGAGACAGTCATAATCATTTGTTTAATGGGGCTGGTTTAGTTTGGGCAAAGGATAAGAAATACTTCTTGAGGGACCAGCAGAAGGCATAATGGTTATGTTGCTGGACTCCCACGTAGTCAACCGTGGTTCGAGTCCCAGACCCAGGCAGCTTAAAACTCATGCTGGGCACATATACGTGTGTGCCCAAGATTCAGTAGAGGAGAATGTAAGAGAAGGGATTGCAGCATGGTCATCCCCTCTGGGGGGTGATTTCTCTCTTTGAAAAAGAAGAGAAAAAGAAGTACTTTTTAAAAAAGAAATTACCTTTGCATTTCTAAAAGGTCTCTCATTTTGGATTTTATTTTTAAAACAGTAATTAGGATAACAATAGCTTTAGGCTTATCTAGAAGGGCTGAAAGCCATAGCTGATAATCAGCCTGTGCCCTTTAATAGGACCTTCTTTTGCATGGTGCCATCAGTGTCATTCTTCTGTGTTAGCAAGAGGCTAAGCGTGTGCGCTTGCCAGACAGACAGAGAGAGAGACAGAGAGACAGAAAGTGAGAAATCACCCCCCAGGGGGGATGGCCATGCCGCAATCCCTTCTCCTCCATTCTCCTCTCAGGATCTTGGGCATGCACGCACACACGCCCGGCGTTTTAAGCCACCAGGTCCGGGAGGTGAACCGCGGTCGACTACGTGGGAGTCCAGCGACACAGCCATTACACTAACTGCTGGTCCCAAAATTTTGGTCTTTTTAAACTCTCTTCATTCTTCCAATCTTCACATAGCATATACTGCCAAATCCTGTGGTCTAACACCACGCTTTCTCAAATGCTTGTTTTCCTTCTTCCTCCCTGTTGCCTTTCCAGTTAGGCTGTGGATGCTCTTGGTTGAACTCCTATGACTACCAACTCTCTGATTTACTTTCCTCTAGGTCCTCTCCCATTCTAACCTATTCAGATACAATGTCTCCAGATTAATCTTTCTGGAGTATAATTCTGTTAGTACCATTTTATTGATCTAGAAGCAAAACCAAACCTAGGAGCAAGGAAACTGCATGACTGACTTCTTATGATGGTATGCAAAGCCTCCAGGAAGTGGTTCCAATCCACCTTTTTAAGAATTTGTATTGCCATACAAATAGAGTTTTTAGTAAATTTGAGAAGGATAGGAGTATCCATGGAATCAAGGGAAATTGTTCAGATGAGAACAAACCCAATATTGTAGGCTAGTAGTATATAGATTTACACAACAAAATAAATTGTAGAGAAGTCTCATAGACTTACATTGGTAGAGTTGAAGCTGACAGTACCAAGGATTAGGAATATAAAGGATAGGGTGGCAACCTAGAAGATCATGTTAGCCATAGGGAGGTAGGCTGATGCTCATGGAAGGCATACACTCACAGTAATGGGATATCAAGTGTCAAAATGAGACAGGTGTTAAGAGGAAGGAGATACCACTTTATTTTTATCATTTTATTTTATTTTTACCTAGATTCTCTTCAAATGGCCCCTGGAGCCCCAGTTCTAGGAAAACTCTGAATTATAAGTAACATTGCCCATACTCCTAGCCCACGGAATTAGCTCTGTAGGAATTTTCAAAAGAGTTTAGCCATGTGACAGTAAATCGTTGACTTGAAAGTTAGCTTTCCACCTCTCTCACTGTTCTTCTTTTTTGACAGATCAATGGCCAAGACCTAAAGAACCTGCTGCACCAGGATGCTGTAGACCTCTTTCGTAACGCAGGCTATGCTGTGTCTCTGAGAGTGCAGCACAGGGTAGGTGTCACTTCTAGCCAGAGGCCTGGCACCTGACTTTTGCACCATTCTTGGGAATAACCCTGTGGATATATTCTTCCATGTTCTTTTATTTTCTCTTTTATTCTCATTCCTTCAAAGAGCTTGTCTGGCATAGGCAGGAGTCATTAAAGGAAATTCGTAACAGTATGTTTACAACCCATGTTCTAGCTTTAAGGTAATATGTCTTAAAGATAAAGCTTGATAACCAAATTAAAATGGAGTCAGGGAACAAGCCAGAATCAACTTTACTTTTTGTTAGGCTTTCTATATAAATATTTGAAGAAAGATACACCCTTCTTCCCCTACTCCTGCCTAGTAAGATTTAGATTCTACTTAGGATCAATAGATTTCTTCTCATGTCTTCAGTTTCCTGATGTGATACACATGTAGTGAGATAAAAGTGCAGAAAGACATTATCCAACTTGCACTCAGAAGTCTTTTAGGTCAGTAGCATAGCCAAGTTAAATATCTCCCCATCATACCTGTTTTCTTTACCAAAAAAAATCTCACTCTGATGTATCAGCTCAGGGCAGCAGGAGGATTCCTGCCAGGTAGTGCTTGGGGTTTACCACTTCGGCGATCTAGAGATTATAGACCCAGGCCATCTGTCAACCTGGACATTTCAGCTGGATCAGACACACATTTGGCACTAAAGTTAACATTTCTCTTTCCCATCCAGTTGCAGGTGCAGAATGGACCTATAGGACATCGAGGAGAAGGGGAGCCAAGTGGTATTCCCATAGCAATGGTATTAGTGCCATTGTTTGCCCTCACCATGGTGGCAGCCTGGGCCTTCATGAGATACCGGCAGTAACTCTGAAAAGCCTGCTTTCTTCTAGTGCGTCCAATGAAGATACATTTCTCCCACCCTCTTCCCCTGCCATTCTCCCACATCTTTCCCTCTCTTCGTAGCCAACATCTGATTTAAGGTGACTGATCCTTGCCTAGAACCTTGCTGTTCGGATTGCTAGTCTTCATATTCTAATGGGAGAGTAAAGGTATTGTTTGAAGGAAAACTGAAGAAAAGACTTACTAAGAACAAATAAGGAATTATCTATTTTACCAAGACTGCTACTAGAAATTCAGCTACCACCCAAAGAGGGAAAGGTCCAGTGTTCCAGTCACCATGGATGACACGTTTTTTCCCCTTAACTGGCATGCCTTAAAAGCCAGCTGTGTTATATGGGAGGAGGAGAGGATTTTTCTTTTTGATAATCTTCCTTGTGAAGTTTTTGTGGCCTTTATTTAATTTGTAACTACATACCTGGGTGCCTATATCAGACAAAGGAGAACTAGAACATTTTTAGTTTTTTAAAAAAGGAAACACACATATATGTATCTGTGGAGTATATAGTGATGCCTAATGGAGAATTAAAGAGATGAGAAAGTTGCTCTGGTTTCTAGATTTCTGATTTAAAGATCTTAAGTGATGAACTTGAAGACTTATTTACAGAGGACATCTAGTGGGAACAAGGGAGCGAGGCTTAAAGGAGGATGCCCAGTCTGAGTCGTTAAAAATAGAACTGAAAAAATATGTGTAACTGAAGGAACTAACTGAAAACCTTAGAAGAACATTATTTTTTCTCATAATAGCTGTGGTAAAGTTGAAGTAAATTGCCATAATCCAGCTCTGTTTAAGTCAGTCTGTTCAAAACCTTCGGGGTGTAGAGACAAATCTTATCAATTTTTGGATTACCCTAGTGACTTGATATCTCATAGTCCTGTTAAAGGGTCAGCTAGAGTGATTGTGGTCAAGGATGTAGCAATGGGGCCAAATCAACTCAGTGCGAAAACATGGAAAGTACAAAAGATAGTGCCTCTAAAGTGGCATCTGAACCCTCCGGGCTGTCTACAAGTCTTTTTGTAACAAGTCTAGTAATAAGCAAACCTGAGAGAAGGAATGGCTGCCACGGCAGGATAGGCATGAAGTCAGCTGGCTTCCGAGAGGTCCTAGATTGTTACCTTTTGTTGTTTTATTTTGTTTTCTAAAAGTTCTAAACACTGGTTCTGGTTTTATTTAGTACATTGTTTTCCAGGGAAGGGTAGAAGTTTTGTTTGTTTTAGGCGTAGGGAAATTCAGTGGGTGTTTCATCGGGAAGCCTAGTAGGAGGATAGGAATGAATGGATGTCAAGGAATATGAAGCGTATTGGTGAGGTGGGAACTACCCTGTTCACATGCTATTTAAAGTTGGATTTAAAGCATGAAAGATGGCAGAACTAAGGGTAATTTTCTGGCTTTAGGAAATTCATTTTCATTCTGCGGATATACTGGCCATGTTGTAGGCCTTGTATAATTTTGACAGCAAGATTATGAGGATTTTCAGGCAATCAGTTTTACCCTGCTTTTCACATGGATGATCTAGTAATTATTTAACAAGCATTGACTGGACATCAGCTCTGTTAAGACATTCTTTAAAAAGAAGTAAAAGGTACAGCTTCCATCCTAAAAGGCCTTTTTGATTCCATTTGGTAAGAGAATACTTAAAATGGATTTAGCCTCACAGGCAGGACAATGTAAGTTGGTGTTAAGTTTATATGGCAGACTGAAAAAGACAGGATACTGAGAATCAGGGCACTTAAGATAGTTCCATGGGGGAAGAGAACAAGTTAAGGACTCTTGTGGAGCCACTGTCTGGTTACACGAAGTCATAAATAGGTGAAAAATTAAAATGTATCATCAGGTTAACTAATAATTGAAAACAATAATAAAGGAAATGGTTCTATGCAGGACATAAAGTAACAACAAAGAATATATGCAGACAGCTACCACATTTTTTAAAAAAAAGTTTAGGGAAAACTGCCATATAATAGCAACAGGCTAAATTGGAAAGGAAAAGTCTTTTAAAAATAAAAGGTCCCATGAAATCTTGCCTCTGGGTTAAATATTGGTACAGGAAGAAACTGGCTTTAAATGATCGTGGTATAACTTAACAATGTCTTTCAACCTTAACTGTTCAGTACCTTTGAGACTTGGACACCTGAACACATTATAGGTTCACAGAGAAACACTGACAATATTCCATGTCTCACTTGAGCCCACCCCGCTGTGGAGGCAGACCCTCTGGTACCTTTTCTGTAACTGAAAGCATAGTCAGCAGCTTCTGCAGTGGGCCCTGTTCCCTCCCAGCAGTCACCTCAGTATTTGGACTTTAACTCCTGAGAGGACATACAAGGTGAAGCAAATGGCAAGTAGGAAAGAAAGCTATTTTGTTTGTTGATGGATATAAATTTAAAATACCTATGCTAGCACATCCTAAATAGATGATTATAGGGATTCTGTTGTACTTTAAAATTTTAAGTTTTCTTGGGAATTAAATAGCTTTTTTTTTTTTTTTGAGAGGTTTTTGCTATAGGGTAGGTGCACTCACCAGAAAGAGGGAGAGACAGACAGAAAGCAAGAAACCACCCCACAGGGGGATGGCCACACCACAATCCCTTCTCCTCCATTCTCCTCTCAGGATCTTAAGCATACACACATATGCACCCAGTTTGAGTTTAAGCCACCGGGTCTGGGACTCAAACCATGGTCGACTACAGAAGACTCCTGTGACATAGCCATTACACCAACTGCTGGTCCCAAGAGAACTAAATAGCTTTTAAAGACCAGTGTATTAGAGTTTTAGACAGGTATATTCAATTATATTCTTACCTCTGATTCTATAAGAAATTATTACTATAGAGGAAGTATCAGAATCCATTATAGGTTGTAGAAAAAATTTTATGTCCTTTATAGATTGAATCTAATATTCTACCATTTTATAGATTGTGTAGATAATGTTCCTACCATCTAAATAATTACATTCTTAAGTTTTGAAAATTGAATGGGGATTAGCAGGGTGTGATGTTTAAAAGCACTAGACTCCCACATGGTTGACCACAGTTCAAGTCCTGGATCTGATGGCTTGCTTTCTTGCTCTTGCTCATTCTCTCTGTCTCATTCTAGTCAAATTAAGAAATAAATAAATAAATAAATAAATAAATAAAGGAAATAATTTTTAAAAAAAAAGGAAAAGAAAATTGAATGAAGGTATTTTTGAGACCTTTACTTAAAAGGTTTATATTTATCATTCTGTTATATTATTCTAATAAGACATTCAGTTGTCTTTATTTTCTTTTCTTTCAAAGTTTGAACTTCTGTTCTATTGATTTAACATAGTTAATTGTACCATCTAGCTATGTGCAATGGAAAGAGGAAGTTACTGGAAAGAGGAAGTTAATGTTCCTTACTGAATTCTATTCCAGGAACTATAACCAAACCCTGATTGGCATACTGTTTGTTCTTACCTCACTCTTGAGATCTAGGTATTGTTATATAGAGAGACTAAAGATAAGAGAATAAATTACTTTCCTAAGATTACATAGGCAGTGATAATAGTATTTAGATTTAAGCTCAAGACTTAAGGTGCCAGTATCAGTATTTCCTCACTGGTGGTGGTTCTCAAAGTGAGGTATCTGGACAAAAGCATCAGTGTCCATCTGGGGAACTGGTTAGAAAAGCAAATTCTTGAGCTTAATCCCAGACTTGCTGGATCACAACTTCTGGGAGTGGCACTCAGCAATCTGTGTTTTAGTAATTCCCTCCAGATGACTCTGGTACACCCTGAAGTTTGAGATTCCGTGCTGTGTGCCAATAGTTGTCCCCTCTCCTCAGATTAGAATCACCTGGAGAGCTTGTAAAAAGCTGTTATGTCTAGACTATACCCCAGACCAATGAGAGGAATCTCTGTGGGTGGGATATAGGCAGCAGTAAAATAAAAAGTTTATCTGGTAATTCCAGTGTGCAGTCTCAGTTGAAAATATTCTGTGGCATTTAAGTCTAGACAGCTATTTTAAGTTATTAAATTATATACAGACTTAGCTCAAGAACTTCAAATAGGTCTCTTGAGAGCCCAGCTCCCTGAGATGTGGAGTAAGAAGCAGAATTCTTTCACTCACTGATTTATTAAGAACTGAGCAAGCTGTGATTACTGAGTGTTTTCAGTTTGTGCAGCTATTGAATGAGAACCATGTTATAGAAAGAACATTGTAAAAAGGAACCAGAGAGATTCTATGATGAATCTGTCTTAGAGATGAGAAGATAAAGGCTGAAGAGGTAAGCCAGCGTAACTGTGATCAGACTTAAGTTTTTGTTGAGGTGCCTTTTCCATTTCATATTTATGCCACTACATGAATACATACAAAACTATCATTTAAAAAAAAAATCTCTGTCCACTTCCATCTTTCTCTTTGAATAAAGACCAGAAGAAATGATTGATGCTGGAGAGTATACAAGCATCATGATTGGAAGGGAGAGTTCCCACAACACAGTCGGAGAAAGCTCTGGTATCAAATTCAAGCAGATACGTTCTTCTGAGATTAATTCCAGCAGTTCTAAACTAGAGGTGTGTGTTTTTTGATGGTGGACCTTGGTTTTTTTAATTTTTTTTTATCATGTACACAAGCAATTTTAAAAGAGTTAAATAATGTAAGGAATTGTAGATTGTCAAGTATGTGGGAAAGTGGAATTTGTGTAGCTGCAGGGAGAGCCAGTAAAGATTTCATTCTACTCAGTTTTAGTGGAAATTTATCTTTGGACAAGTGAGGGTTTTCCCTTCATTCAGCAAATAGCTAATGAGCACCTACTATGGGCTAGGTGCTGAAGATACAAAAATAAGATACAGTCACTCTCCGTTGGAATAGCTTAGTATCTGAGTAGAGGAATATTCATGGATGAGCTTTGATGTTAAAGTATTTTTCTCATATCTCCTAGAAGTAGAAAGTTGAGTTCTGAAGGTCTCTACCTCTCAACCATAACAGGTTTAGAATTGGTTGCTATCCTGGGAAAGCCTCCTTTGCTGTTCCTCTTTTAACTGCAAATCTTTTTGAGATCAGCACTCATATCCCAAAGGCAATTATGAACAAAAGGAAGACAGTATTTTAAGTATCCCGTCCTGATCAGAGCCAGATTCCTAACTGCCAGACTCTTGTATGATGTTGATATTTATATATAGACTCAAAAGTACTTGATCTGCTTACCTGATGCACTTGATGAAACTACAAAAGCCTGTATTATAAGAAAACATTGCTGCTTCTAAGGGAACGAGTTGTAACAAACCGTTTCTGAACATCTCACTGTTCTTTTTTCTTGCAGGGGGAAAAGGTAAAGGGAGAGGGCTGAAGTATGTCTTAAAATGCAAATCAATTATTAACAAAGAATAATTTACAAAAGAACTTGGTATTTGTCATAATCATTAAATTTATTGACGAGTCACAGGAAAATGGAATGATCCCTCTTCCTAGTTTGCAGATTTATAAATGGAGATACAGAATTGAATCCCATTTTAAAATGTGTTGCAATGCTGATTTGAATATGAGGTGTTTTATTATTATTATTATTATTATTATTATTGTTAGATATATGTACATCTTAACTTCCAGGCCATGTTATCTCTTTTAAAAAGATTATTTTCCTATGAGCCTTATTTTATTTCATTTCCTTTCTACTCTGATTCTGTCAGATTGTATCCTTGCTATAAACAGCAGTTTCGCAAACCAAATAGATGCCCTATAGCAACTTGGAAGATATGTACACATACAACTATGTTATCTAGGGAATTTTACACTACAGATTAAATATGTTAATGAGCCCATCAGAATCTCTGGTGATCTCTCTTAAACTTCGCTATTTGAAGCCAGATGCTGAAAAGGACATAATGGTGTGTCTGTGTTTAGTCAGTGTTGGCGTTCAATAAAAACATGTTGAATTTGTCATTGGATGTTTCCAGTCTTTTTTTTTTTTTTTTTTCCAAATTTATTTTGGGGACTTAAATATTTCATTTTCTGCCACCTTCTTAGATGAACACTTCTGACAGAATAGAAAGAGAAAAAAAATCTAAAAGACTAGTTTAAGGCTTAGTTTTGACATAGGAAATAAAGAACCAGGAGGATACTGTGTATTGCTAATAATTGATGATCAATTATTGAGCTCTGAATTTTCAGTCTTCCAGCCATTGTTCTAAGCTCTTTGCATGTATTCATTTAAGCTTCTCACTGATTCTAATTGCTGATGTTATCCCTAAGTGAGGCATAGATGCGTCCCAGTAATTTGCTCAAGTTACACAGCTATTAAGTGCCATTCTGATATATAAACCCAAGCAGTCTGGCTTCATAACCTGCATACATAACCACAACACTATACTGTCCGTTCTCCATGGTGCCAGGCACTGCACTGATCTGCCCTTTGCATAATTAATGTGAAATTCTCACAATGATGCATGGCAGTATCAATATTCCTATTTTCATAGATGAGGTAATTTAATGCTTAAAAAGCTAGTAACTTGCTCAAGATAGAAAGCTAGCTAGTGCCTGTACTGGGCATTTATGTTAAGAGTGAGAAGTCACTGCTTTTCTATCAATCTAGACAATTAAAGCTCTATAAAAAAATACTCGGTTTGACTCAACCACACTGCTGCAGCCTTCCATTATGGATAGTAAGAATTGACTGCACTAGGTTAAGTGCTCTATAGCAATAGCAGTTATGGTGCCGTTCTGTATTTATAGACAGTGTTTAAAGCAATGAACAACATTTACTATTTCCTTGTACCTCTCCATCTCCCAGAGCCCTGTAAAATAAATAGAAGGCAGAAATGGGTTTGTCCCACAGGATGAATAAGAACTTGTCAGAAATGAATATTGACCTTTAGCCTAAGTTGATTGATAGAAGAACAGTGACTTACTGTCTTACATAAATACCCAGTACTGGCATTGGCTAGCTTTCTATCTTGAGCAAGTTATAAACATATAACTTTGTACATAGCTGTCTTTGATGTGGAGATAAAGGGCAGTTTACGTTGGTCGTCATTGCTCCATTACACATTGTAAGCAAAGTTCAGGATCAGAGTCACATTGCTAGTCTTTAGTGTATATAGATCGACCTCTTTCTTCCTAATGGGCAGAGATGTCAGTTATCAGTTACATAAGAAACCACCACACGACCAGCAGGTGGCATAATGGTTACATTGCTAGACTCCAACGTAGGTGATGGCAGTTCAAGGGCTGGACACGGCAGCTTAAAACTCATGGCTGGGCACGTGTGCGTGTATGCTCCAAATCTCTAGAGGAGTAGGGATTGCAGCATGACCAACCCCCTGGGGGGTGATTTCTCCCTTTTTGTCTCTGGCAAGCACACATGCCCTATAGCAAAAATATCTCTCTCAAAAAAAAAAAAAAACTACAAAACTAAGTGGCTTAAAACAACAATAGTTAAATATATATATATAATATATATATATATATATATATATATATATTTAAGATTCTGTCAGTTGACTGAATTTCTTCTGGTTGCCATCATCTCAAGTCACTTGTACATCTACAGTCACCTGATGGATGGCTGAACAGCAGTGGGAAATCCAAGATGGTTTCTCACATGTCTGGCAATTAGTGCTGGCTATTGATTGGAGTTCTTTGGATCTTCTCCATATGGCCTCTTATCTTTTAGCAGATTAGTTAGGCTTCCTGTCAGCATTGGGGTGGAGGTCTTGGGAAGTATTCCAAGGACACAAAGTACCAATGTGACAGTATTTATCAGTCCTTTGCATTTGTCACATATGTTGATGTCTTATTGGCCAGAGCAAGTAAGGGCAAGCCTGGAGTCATTGTGGAAGGAGACTTCAACTCCACCTCTTCACAGGAGCAGTGCAAAGGCTTTGTGGTCACTTTTAATCCACTACAGAAAGAAATTGGACTTTAAACAGCAAAGGCCAAGGGTCAGCAAGCTTTTTCTTAGAGATAGTAAATATTTAGGGATGCAGGTCTAAGGTCTTTGCAGTTGCAGTGTAAAGACAACTATGGGGGTGGAGGGAGTGTAACTGTGTTTTTGTAAAACTCTATTTACAAAAACTAGTAGCCCTCCAGAATATAGTTTGAGAATCCTGGGCAAAGGCAAGTCAAGATTGACCTTTTTTATTAAAAAAAAATTTATTTAACTTTATTAAGTTTAATTTGGCCAGAGAGGGACAGAGTGAGAGAGAGAGAAAATAAGAAAGCAAGCTGCCAGATCCGGGACTGGAACCTTGGTAGGCCATGTGGGAATCCAGTGCCATTGACCACTACACCACCTACTGGCTCTGAGAGTGACCTTTGAGTGAAAACGAGAGGAGAAATTTCCCAAATGTTGAGTCCCAAATTCATGAACATTGGCATATTTCTTAGGAGTTACTTTTAAAAACAGGTCTTCCAAAGAAAGCCGAGAAAGACCAACAAAAATTTTCCAGGCATAATTTTGGAAATGTGTTGAGCAGTGACCATTGTCAGACTTCACTGGGCTGCTGTCATGGTCTGGACACCATTCACAATTCAAGGGTTCACATAAAAAAAAAATACTAGTTATATTGAATTCTTAAAGCTATTCAATTAAAATTATTTCCCTCATTTTAGAGATGAAAAAATAGAACTTTAAAGAGATGAAGCTATCATCCCTAGTTAATGTTAGGTTTTAAGAGACTCAAGATTTGGGACCAGCAGTTGATGTACTCGCTATGTGGCTGGACTCCCACGTAGTCGACTGTGGTTCGAGTCCCAGACCTGGTGACTCAAACTCATGCCGGGCATGTGTGTGTGCGTGCCCAAGATCCCAAAAGGAGAATGGAGGAGAAGAGATTGCGGCATGGCCATCCCCCCTGGGGGGTGATTTCTCGCTTTCTGTCTCTCTCTCCTCTCTCTCTGGTGAGTGCAAGTGCCCTATAGCAAAAACCTCTCAAAAAAAAAAAAAAAAAAGAAAGAAAGAAAAGAAAAAAGATTTGAAACTAGAACTGGAATTTTTTTTGTGCTGCTGCACATTATCCTTGCCTTTTGATTTAAGAAAGATAATACTGTGTAAAGAATAACTTATGGAAAATTATTTGGTAATAATCACAAAAAAAGTCTTTTCAGGTGCAGAGAGAAGAGTTAAGTATTGGTACTTTCCCATCTGTTTTAAGATATTGTGTATTAATAGGAAATTTGAAGTACAGTAAGCCAAAAGATCAGGAAATGATTGCCATTGAAAAGTTTGCTCCTTATCGTCCCCAGAAGAGGGCACACTGTGCCAGAGGACTAAGTGAATCTTAGTCCAAATCACCATAGGGTATAGTGAATCAATTCAAGCCACCATCCAGTTTCACTTGGACCCACTGCATTAGCTTTGTTACTGCATTCTTTGCTTTCCCCCTCTAACTTTTCTGCACAAACTATCTCAAAGAGATACTGAACTCAGTCATGTCTCTTCCATCCTTAAAAATTTCCTAGAGGTGGGACCAGCAGATGGCATAATGGTTATGGTGCTGGACTCCTACATAGTTGACTATGGTTCAAGTCTTGTTCCTGGTGGCTTAAAACACGCTGAGTGCATGTGCATGTGTTCCCAAGATCCTGAGAGGAGAATTGGAGGAGAAAGGATTGTGGCAAAGTCATCCCCCTGGGGGGTGATTTCTCGCTGTCTGTCTGTGTCTGTCTCTCGGTTGGTGGAGTGCATATGCCCTGTAGCAAAAAATATCTCAAAAAACAAACAAACAAAAAACCTAGAGGTTTCTTATTGTTCTTAGGATTCAATTCAAATTACCTAGGATAACTTATAAGGCATGGCATGATCCAATTACCACCTACTTCTCCAAACTAATTTCATTCCATGTTTACACTTTCTCTCTGATTCCTATCTTCGCTGGCCTTTCATTCACTCAGTAATGCCAGACTCCACCTGAGGGCCTTCCCACAAACTTTCAAGTGTGTATGTTTTCTTTTCCACTGATTTTCTGCCTAAATTTTCAACTTACTGTCATTTCCTCAGTGAAAGAAGCTTCTTTCTTTCAAGCATGTCTTTTCCCTCAGGAACACCTTGGACTTGGTTCCCCAGATACATCCTTCCTGCTGGATCTTAAAGGGCTACTGTGATAGAAGGAAAGATAATAAGGAATTAAACCAGGAACATTTATTTCAGTGTCAACAGAGAGACGGGGACAGAAGGAATGATGTCACAGATTGCACGGGAATTCTTACTCTAGGAGAGGCTTTCTCTGCTTCTTTCTGGCAAAAGGCACACACGGTGGCTGTTTCCTAACCTATCATGGTACTTTAGAAATAATGATAGTGAGAGGCTAGCAAGTGGTGGTGGTTAAGGGTGCTGGACTTCCATATGTTCCACCGTGGTTCAAGTCCTGGACCTGGTGACTCTCTCTTTCTCTCTGTCCCTCTCTGATCACATTAAAATAAATAAATAAGTCTTTAAAAAAAAAATACACTGGGGTGGGGGGGGGCAACAGGTGGCCTAGTGGTTAAGGCACTGGACTCCCACATAGCTGACTGCCCTTTGAGTCCCAGATCCAGAGGGTTGAAACTCAGGCTCTGGGTGCCTGCTCAAAATCCAGAGAGGAGAATGGAAGAGAAAGGTTTGCAGCGTAGCTATGCCCGGGGGTGAGGGTAGGAGGGTGAGGGTGTGTGTGTGGGGGGCGATTTCTCATTTTCTATCATTCTCTTTCTCTTGCAAGTGCACATGCCTTATAGCAAAAACCTCTAAAAAAAGGAAGAAGAAAGAGCGACGTTAGTGTGCTCTTTCTTAGATCGCTTTTCGTCTCTTACGTTCCCAGAAGCTTCAAAAGGTGGGCTGTCTGGTTGTTGAAACAGTGGACAAATGGCATTTAAGTAACAAGATTTCAGGCTGTCTCTCAGTAAAAACCCTTAACATTAAAGGGTAAGTAATAACAGCCAAGACTACACTGATGACATTCAACCCAACTTTCTAGCTATTTAAGACTTTATTAAGCTGGTAAATTCCCTTATCCCACAAATAGGCACCAAAAAAATACAATATTAGCTTCAAAATACCTTTTGTTTCTTATCGAGTGGCTATCTGCCAGGAGATGTTCTTTAAAGATGCTAATCAAGACCTAACATACCATGCATAGCAGTTTACATACCGACACCACGCCAGCATTCCGGAACCAAAACGTTGATGCCCCAATTTCTAGAGGGACGGTCCAGTGTGTTACTACGAATCGATTACTTTTGCCTAGCGGAAGCCAATCTGGAGAGTACCACGCACCTAACAGCCAAATTAAAGCAGTGAGTCAAGGACATCCTTTACTAGGTTACTAGGCGAGAGCTTGGTCCTTTGAGATATGGGAGGGCGCTCAGGACCTGTCTAGAGAGACATCTGAGAGGGTCGGAGAATTCGATTATGTTTGCACCCTCGACGATGCGTGTCTTGCGCAAAAATAAGACCCTTCGTTACGGAGTTCCCATGTTGGTAAGTGGAGCGTGGAGAAAGTGTGGGACTGGGATTCCGGAAGGGGTAGGATCTTGTAAACGGGACCGAGACTGCGGGAAATCAGTGCGATTTGCGGAATCTTGGGTTCCTGTTTTCCTTTTGGCGGTAAAATATCAAATGCATGAGACCACAATTATGTTAGGCATGGGCTGATTAGTCACTAGTCCTTCTAGATGTCTGATTTAAGGGGAACGTGTGGGCGATCTTAGTTTTCATGGCTCTGAAGTAAGACCAGATGCCAGTTACAGTTTCCAGCCTCTGCCAGCTTGTGAGCATGGCATCCGTCCCATCGTCAACTGCGATAGATTTTACAATTCCAGTTTCACAATTGAGTGAACCAAAGCTCAGAGAATTATATCAGAACCAGAATTTAAGCCACGACTGCATGATTATTAAGCTTGCTGCCTCCCACCCCTTCCTGCTCCGCTACTTTTCGAAGGTACTCCGAATCCTTGGGACTAGGTATATTTAGCTGCTCGATTTCTGGTACCTCCCCTTTTCACCTTCCTGGCTTGTAAATTGGCTAAATGCTTCTATGGTTGTTGGGATGAACTAAATGAGACTTTGTCTGTGAAGTGTTTAGCAGGGTGCATGCCACATTGTAGCAGTCCCTGAGCACTTTATTTTTCTAAAGTGTTTTGAAAACAGCTTTGGTATTTAAATGATTGTGTCCAATTCTACAGAGTCACCCAAAGATGTTATGGGGATGCAGGTTGAGACTGACATAAGACCAGCCAGAGTTGGAATCCAGACAACTCCTTTTACTTGCTGTTTGATCATGTGCAAGTAATTTTGCTGCAGGAAGCCTTGATGTCATATTAAATGAAGTTGAGTAAAGCATATGAACCAAAAAAAAAAAAATCTGCCCTACAAAAAAAGTTTTTAAATTTAACTTTATTTATTTACTTATTTAAATTTGACCAGAGAGGGACAGAGAGAGAGAAAGTGAGAAAGCAGGCCACCAGGTCTGGGATTGACCCGGGTTCAGCCATATTGGGAGTCTTAACTCCCTTAACCACCATGCCACCTGCTGGCCCCAAAATCTGCTTTCTTTTAAATACAGACTTATTTATTAGTTTGGTATGGATACTGGCACAAATTGCCAACTTTGCATTTAAGCAGAACGAAAAGAAATGGTCTTTGAAAGGTAATGGATTTTTTATTCACCTTTGAAATGAAAATTTTCCTTTCATATTTAAGAAACCCCATATTATATATATTTTAAAGAGTTTGAAGATAACTGCTTATAAGATAGTGTAGTAATTATATTTGCACAGATGGCAGGCCATGTATAAAAACCAGCCTCAGTAGATTCCTCTACCCCAAAATGAAGGGTCATTCAAGTGCGGGCTCCAACTTGAAGTCACCAGCATGTCCCAGTGGAAGCCAGTTTAATTTGTTTCTTAACTTTCAAAATGATCAAAGCCGAGGTCTTAAAACCACTATGTATTAAATTACCATTAGAAGGTGTTCTTCCTTCATTTTAGTTCATAGACTAGAAGGTAACACAATAGCCGTCTTCCTAAGTATGTTTATCTGGACTGCTCTTTATGTCTATACCTGACCTAGAAGATCATGTTTTTGAATATGAAACCTAGACACATAATTTCATAGAGGAAAAGCTGGATTTAGTACTCTAAAACTAAACACTACTGAAAATAACTCAGAAGATACAGCCTCTTCATCATGTATCAATCAGATATATCATAATTACTATACTATATTTATTTTTGATATTTTTCTCTTTTGGGTAAAAATGCTTCATAGAAATCTTTATTCAACAATCTACAAGTAATACATTCCTTCTCTTCTAAACCATTTGCAAAAAGAAAATAAATTTGTTTCAACTTCCACATTACTTTTTTTTGGCTAGAGAGTACATATGCTTGCCAGAGAGAAAGGGAGAGGAACAAGCACCTTCCCCCCACCATGGGGAATGGTCACACTGTAATCCCTGCTCCTCCATCTCTCCCTCCTTTCAAGATTTGGGCATACACACACATGCACCTGGTGTGTTTCTTAAGCCACTGGGTCCAGGAAGTGAACTTTGTGCTCAGCCCTGTGGGATCTGGCTGCCTTAACTACCAAGCCATAGAGCCAACTCCCACACTGTCTGTTTAACGTCAGTATTTACTTTTCTCGTCTGACCAGTGACCAACTGTTTTCTGCACACTAAAAAATTCAGTCATTTAAATTATTCAATTCCATCTTTTTTTTTTTAGTATACTCTCAATTATGCAGACATCACCACATTTTAATTTTAGAACATTTTCATCACTTCAGAAGAAACACCATAATCATTAGTAATCACTACCCATTTTCCTCTTCTATCCTTCCCTAGGCAAGCACTAATCTGTCTATAGCTTTGCTTCTTCTGGACATTTTATATTAATAGAATTAATAGAATACAGTAGAATAATTCATAGAAGCCAGTCTTTTGTGACTGATTTCTTTCACTTCAAAAAATGATTTTAAGTCAATTCATGTTGTATCACATATTAAAACTTGATTCCTTTTTAAGGCTGTATAATATTCCATTGTTTGGGTAGACGACATTTTGTTTATCCATTATCCATTGATGGACATTTGAGTTGTTTCCACTTTTGGCTATTATAAATAGTGCAGCTATGAACATTCAAGCAAAAGTGTTTGTGTGGAAGTGTGTTTTCATTTCTCTTGGGTATATATGTAGGAGTAAAATTGTTTTTTAAGAAACTATCAAACTATTTTCCAAAATGGCTGGAAAACATCCCTTCAGCCACGTATGAATTTTCCCATTTTTCCACATCCTTGCCAACACTTGTTATTCCTCTTTTTTGTAATTAACGCTTTCTAGTGGTTGTAAAGTGGTATCATTGTCATTTTGATTTGTATTTCCCTAATGACTAATGATATTGAACATCTTTTCAAGTATTAATCATCTGTATATCTTTTTTGGAGAAATGTCTAACTCTTTTCCCTCTTTATTTTAGACATACACCACCATATGCTGTAGGCATATACCACCATGCCTGACTTTTTAGCACACACTAATGTTACGGGATGTTTGTCCATTTTTTAACTGGTCTATTTTTTCTTTTATTGAACAGAGATTTCCTTAAACACTTGGAACAAATAACTATTACAGCCTTTGTTAAGAGGTTCTGTGTGGTTGTTTGGGCATACCTTCAACATTCAGCCATGCAATTTACAACTCTTCCTTAAGCCTTCACTTATTGCTTGCTTAGAGCTCCAGTGTTAGCTATAGGTGAGAATCTAGGGCGTTCTCAGGTCTTTCTTGAGCATATACACCACTCTGGAGGCCCATATACACAATTCTATCCTTATGGAGAACTTCTAAATTCTTATTAATATGTTCGAGCTTTTCAAAGTCCTCTGTGGACATCTTAGTCTTCATGTTTGAAGTTTGTAGGGAGCAGCCTAAATCTGAAGCAAACGTGGTAACCTTTAGATACATGCAGAAACCCAGTTCCATGGGCAGTTATGTGCAACCAATGAATACCATTAACATGTGAATATGCTAGCTACTTCTGTGTTTCCAAAACTACAAGGCAGTATCAGTGAAAGGAAGCCACATGTGTTAATCAGACTGACAGATTATAGATGCTGTTGGGTCACCCGAAAAGTCTTGACATTTTTCTCGTAAAAATGTGTTGTGACTTTTCCGACAACCCAATGTTTAATTCCATGGAACTGTGACATCATCTAGAGACTTGGTGTTGGTTGAGAACAGGTAGAAGAGGTGTAAAGACTGAACCTTTGGGGGTTTTCCAACATTTGAGATATGTAGTCATTTGACTAAAAAGGGGGTGAGAGTAGGTAGGGGAAACAGATGTGTTTTTTCATTGAAAATAGAAGACAAAAGCTACTTTACTTAAACAAAGAATTCTTATGTATTGTCATTGCAGATATTGGCTGCATATATATAACAGATCTTTCTCCTGATTTATTCTCTTTTTATTTTACATTGTTTTTATTTCATTTATTCATCTGGACAAAAGTTCCAGATTTTTATTTGATCAAATTGACTGAACTTTGTAATTCATGGCCTCAAGGGTTTGTTGGTATTCCCAGTTTCAAAATTACAAAACTTTGTAACTTGTTTATTTTTTATATTTAGCTCTAGTCTGTGATACGTTTTTAAAAAGTAAAGTAGAGATAAGACCTTTTTAATCAAATAGCTAGACTTACAGCTTTAGACTGAGGGATTTAAAGCCAATTACATTTTTAGAGGAGATGATAAAACAGCAATGACAATTTAGGGGATATGTTAAGGTTTACCACATGCTGAGAAGTGTGGCATATTTCATGAGGTTTCTTTAGCATTTATTATGAAAATGAGGGATAATGGTTTCCAGTTGGCTTATTTTGCAGAATCATAAAATTGAAAGAATTCTGATCTTGAAGAAATGAAGCCAGAGTTTTGTTCCTGGATTTACCCTGTATAATCATAATGTTAAAGGAAGAATGTTAAACAAATTTCTTTGCATTACTTGGGCAAAGATTAACAAATCAGGTAGCACTCAGAACCGGAAGAGGTTCAGAACTCTGGTCTACTACTGAGTTGTCAGAGAAGTCATGATGTATTTTTCTGTGTTCTTGTATGCAAAAATGCATCGTGAGTTTTCCAATGACCCAATATTTATAGACAGAACAAGGAGATAAAATACAAATACAGCTTGATTAGTTACAACTTGGCATTTACTTCATTTGTACATGGTCAAATGTGCAGTTGGCTGATTTTGGTTTATTTATCTGTGAAGTTGGGTTGCATAGGAATTTAAGAGACAGCCTTAGGCCAAATACAGTTTATCAATGAGCAGGTCACTATGTTGGCTATGCTTTTACTTCCTTTTTTGGTAAATAGTTTTTATTTTGTTTTGTTTTGTTTTTTCCTTAGCTGGTAGGTCTGTGGTAAAGATCAAATAATAATATGTTTGTCATGATGCCATTTAAACCATAACGTCAAGTACAGCTACCGAGTGCTGACTTTGTTACCTGATTATGAGACAGTTTACATTGCATCTACTCGCCAGGAAAAATAATCTGTAGGCTTTTGCTTAGTCTTTCTCTGTTGTTCAGGTAAGTAATCTATAAATAGGCTGGATTCTCTTCTATTTTGTTTAAGTATTTCTTTTCTTTGTTTCAGTTGCTGATTATTGGAGGTTCTTTTGGTCTTCGTGAGTTCTCACAAATCCGATATGATGCTGTGAAGATTAAGGTAAGAGTTATTGTGTCTGTGTATGAATATTCTGGTTGATAAGTGTACACTTGGGATACTAAGTAGTCTGAGTTTTTTTGCTTTTCAAAGCTAATATCTTTATGCCCTTTCTTATTTTTTGAAGTTACATTAATGACCACATGGGAGGGATTTGTGAAATATAAAGTATTTAGTAATCTTTCTCCTTATTCATTAGAAAATTTGTAATATTATTAGCTTCCTCCTACAAAATACACTCTATAGTTGGTTTTAGGATGTAGGAGGGACTAAAGTGCATAGATCAACAAGTTCACCTCATTTTATTTTTCCAGTTATAAATGAGTTATTTCCATAATACCAGTAATTTTATAAATTCTATTGTATTTATCTTTAGTAACTACCAATTACTAACTAATTTATACCAAATGCATATCACTTTTATACCATCAAAAAGTTGAAAGATCATTAAGTCTAACCCTTTTAAGTTAGGGACTATCTGTATGTAGTTTCTATGGAGGAATAGAACGGTTTGTCAACTGAACAATTTAAACTAGCCAGTTTTCAGTTAACTAACAGTTTTAAGTTTATCTGTGTTAAAAAGGTTTCAGTTAGCATCCAGTTAGTTTATCAAGGAATTTTTTTTTCCTCTTTCCTTTTGAGATGAAAATTACAATAAATTGACTTTTGGAAGTGGGAGAATATGTATGTATTTTTAAAATAATTGAGTATTTACCATATGCTAGTTATTTTATATCAAGAAATTTGTTCTTACAAAGCTTATAGCATAATCAAGAGTAGAAGACATCTAATATATAAAAATGTACCCAAATATAAAGTATAGCAATGACATCAAATACTGTGTTAGAATTCTGTTTAAAGCATTACTAAAATTTCAAGGAGAGATATCCAGTGGAAACTTGAGAAGGGGGAATCAGAAAGTTTGCTAAAGGTATTAAGACTTGAATTAAACTAAGAATTAGTAGGATTTGGCTAAGTGGTAGAGGTGATTGATATTTTATAAGGTAGAAGGAATAGTGAGCATATGGTCAGATTTTATTTTAGAGCTATCTGTCTGATAATTGAGTATTGAATGGATAAGAAAAGGAAGAGATTGTTTAGATTGAAAGTAAAGAGAGCTGTTAAAATTCTCACAGTAGAATAGATGAACAATAATGGAACCTGAAATAAAACATTTGCGATGGGGCTAGTAGATGGTATAGTGCTTAGGTTGCTGGACTCCCACATGGCTGACCACAGTTCGAGTCCAGGACCTGATGACTTGAAAGTCAGGTCAGGTGCATATCCATGCATGCCCAAGATACTGGGAGGAGAATAGGGGAGAAGGGATTGTGGTGTAGTCCTCCCCCTCACCAGAGGGTAATTGCACACTTTTCTCCACTGTCTCTGTCTCTCTCTCTCTCCCTGGCAAACATGTGCCCTAAGGCAAAAACCTCTAAAAAAAAATAAATAAATAGCAATGACAATAAGGAGAAATTTATGGGTCCCACAGAATTTTTAGCAGCAAATTGATATGACTGGTGTGATATAGGTAATGTAAAAATATTAGTAAGTCTAGGATGGCTTGAGTTTTTAATTTTGAGGACTGAGTAAATGGAGGTGCTAATCACTCAGTAAAGGAGAGAGAATAAGGGAGGTTGAACTGACATGAGAGGTCTAGAAGATGGAGTCAAAGGAAAGAAAATAAGGTAAGGTAAAATCAAGAAAATGAGATTGATTGAAGTTGAGAGGACAAGGTCAGTTGAAGTCAAGAGAATAAGGCTACATGGTAGGCATGTGTGTGTGCCCCAAATCCTGATGGGATGGACAAATGGAGTAAGACAAATTGTGACCAACCTCTCTTTCTTTCTTTCTGTCTCTCTCCGTTGAGGTACGAAGGATCAGAGGACGAGGCTTACTGAGATTGAGAGGTGGAGTTTGGTTGATGTTCTGAGGTCAAACTCATTTGAAGTTAAGAGTCAGTGTTTGGGTGATATTGAGTTCAAACAAGATAGAAGGATGGGGTAGGCTAATGTTGAGAAGAGTTGAGAGGATGGATGTGCTCCTTAATGATTGAGAGCATAAGATTTACTAGGTTAGGTTGAGAGCAGTTTTAAGGTTTGAGAGGGTGCAGTCAAGGTGAGTTCATAGGGGCACAGTTGGTGAGGTCAAGGGAGATTGAGACTGGGGTCTAGAGGACAAATTCTGTTGAGAAGTTTAGAGAAGGGTAGAGAGCAAAACAGTATTGATTCAGGGTGATCAGCAATTATAGTTTGTCTGGAACTGTCCTGATTTTAGTATGGTAAATTCAGCATTCCAGGACACAGAAATCATTGATGGGTATGGAAGTCTGAGAGGAAAGGACAGGGCCCATAAGGTGGCCTAATAAGAGCCGAAAGCAACAGCTTTCAGTTCTCAGTGTGAAATAAATGTTAGTTAGCCATCCTAGTAGCTGTGTCTGGGTTGTTGTTTTCTCCCCCTTGTGGTTGATGATGTTAACCCTCAAGCTGTAATTGTGGATTATCCATTGTTGTATCACAGCAAATGATGCGATTTAAGTATATTGCATTTGTGAGCAATAACAGTCTTTGACTTTGCCTATCAGTTGAGTTTTTTAACAAGGTAATGCTAGTTTAATTTTTAACATTTTAAATGATCAAGACTCTGTTAGCTGAGATTCAGATAATGCAAATGAGAATAATTATAATTCAAATGTTAATAAGATCCAGACATCACTAAAAGAAGCTAAAAACTGTTCTTTTAATGACAGATGGAAGCACACATAAAACTGGGATTAAGGTGTTAAATAACCAAAACATAGTATATCACACACTATTCAAAACAAATTGAGCATGGTGCAGATAGGGATGTGAAAATATGTATGAAGACTGAATTTCATAGGGCAAGGAAAAGACACACAAGTGCTCATAAATCAATCATAAGGTTACTTATCTTTCTTAAAAAATCCTCCAATACTCAGTCTGAAATAGCAGCTGCAGAGTTAGCTTTGGTATACCATACTAACCAGAACATGCATTATTCTATTATTTCCTTTATTGAGCTGTGAAACTGAGTAAAGTTATGTTTTTCTGATGAGAACTTGGAATTAAAACATCCTGTGGGTGAAATCTAAAGGAGGAAATTCTGATACCAGGTCTGTTGATCTCTACAGTATACAGCTGTTCTGTTAACTCTTCAAGGATCGTGCTTTGTATAGTCTATCAAGTAATTATTTGAATTGTGTCCACAAGAAATGTTCACCTTATCTTAGGTACTCTGATTTGGGGGAAAAAAAGAAGATTTAATGCTAAGTAAAGTAAGCTGAACTCTGAAAGACACACACTATATCTCCCCACTCAATATATACCAAACATCTACTCTTTATGGCATAATTTGAAAGATCTGAAGATAAGATTTTTTAAAGAATTATTCATTTAATTTTATTTATTATCACAACTTTTTAGTTTGACTAGAGAGAGACAGAGAGAACAAGAGAAGGAAAGTGAAAAAGCAAGCCGCCAGGTCTGGGACTTGGACTACAATTGCCAATGTGGGAGTACAGCACCTTAAACACTATGCCACCTGCCAGCCCTGAAGATATGTAAGGAAGGAGAGTGGATGGTAGAAGGTGGGTAAGAGGAGCAAAGGGAAGAAACACTTAACAGATATGAGAAAGTAAACTTCTCTTTTGAAAATGATATATATTGGTTTGACTGTTACGTTCTGCATGCGTACTTTTCTTTTTTTTAAGAGATTTTTGCATTAGGGCATGTGTGCTTGCTGGAGAGAGAGAGAGACAGAGACAGTGAGAGGGACAGTGAAAAATCACCTCCAAGGTGGGGATGGCCACACCACACTCTGCGTTCTCCTCCTGGGACCTTGGGCATATGTGCACACATGTGCAGTGTTATTTTCAGTCCACCTGTTTTGGGCATGTAGGAGTCCAACAGCACCATCTGCTGGCCCTTGCATGCTTTGAACATCCATATTGTGCATTGGGGAGATGTTCAGTGATGGAACGTAAATTTAAAAGAGGAATTTCAAATTGTCTTCTTTGAAGTTTTGTTTGTTTTAGTTTTTGCTATAAGGCACATGCACTCACCAGCTAGATGTGCCAGAGAGAAAGAAAAAGTGAAAAATCACGTCCAGAGAGCATGGCCATGCCACAACTGCTTCTCTTCCACTCTCCTCTTGGGATTTAGAGCATGCATGCATAGGTGCATGATGTATTTTTCAAGCTGCCAGGTCCAGGACTCAAACCATGGAGTCAGCCATTTGAGATCCAGCCGCCTTAACCTTCATGCCACCTGTTGGCCCCAGATTTCTTTGAATATTTTAATGAAACCACACAAAACATAAAACAATTTGTTGATATCTTCAAAATGTTGCTTTTGCCAAATTTTCTCTGCTTTTTATGGACTCCAATCAGATGTGTGTTAGAAATAGAATAGAAATGTCTAACATTTCTATTTTTTTAATGCTTTGTTTATTCCTCCTTTTTTCTTTCTGGACTTGAATTAATATATTTTGTATTTCTTCTTCTAGTTACTAAACCTGTCTTTTGCTATATTCAATCTCTTTTTAAAGTCATTCTTTGGTTTTGTGATTTTGGTTTATTTTTTATTTCTGAAATGTACATTTCTTTTTTTAATTTTTATTTTTATTATCATCATAATCCTCTTTATATTACATTGGATTACATATAACTTTACATTGACTTCCATTGCTTTTTCAAAAGGGAATGCCATGCATGTCAGTCAATACAGAGACATTAATCTCCCCGCTTTATCATTCAATGTCTTTTCTGTTTTTCCCAATAATTATTATTATTATTATTATATTTTAAAACAGTCAATCACTATTTCTCATTTTGCTTGTTAAAAGACTTTACCCATCATGAAATACCTCTTAGACCAGTCCAGTTGAGAATACTATACACGTCATTATCAACAGATAATAAACCATATCTGTTTCTCACTAACATCCTACCTCTCTATTGTTCACTTGCTATCTTTCTCTATCCTCTTCTCTCTTTTTTTTTATAGTTTATTTTTTATTATAATTTTTTTTCCCATCACAACACACAAATGAATTTTCCATCCAAAATACACTGTGCATTGGCTCAATCAAGCACATCAACATATATGTTCTCAGCAAATAATTTCCCAATTCTTGTGTCCTGCATA